CCCCGGGCTCCCGACACGGCTGCGTCCCCTGCCCTGCCCGGCACAGGCGGCATCCCCGGTGCCCCGGGCCCTGGGCAGGAGCGGCCCTCCCCCGAGATCCGCTCTGCACGGTGGCAGATGCCACCCTCCCTGGTGGCAAAGCCCTGCCCGTCCCATGCGCTTCGTGCCAGGACCTGGCCTTTGCTAGCCGTGCGGTGAGGAGAAGTCCGTGCCCGCAGCCCCCTTGGACCCTGCCCGATGCAGGCAGGATGCCTGCCTGCTGTTCCCAGGGCTGCCCCAGCGCCCTGTGCCAGCTCTACGCGCGCTCAGCCCCCCATGCCACCAACACATCAGAGGCCCAGCGATGCAAAGCCCTCCGGCTTTTCAGGGCTGTGCTGCCTGCTAGAAGAGCCCTGCCTTGAAGCCGTTCCTCCTTCCTCAGCCCCGAGGAGCACACCCCAGCCCATGGGGAATGGATGGGGAAATCCCCCTGCAGCTCAGGTGCCTTGCTGCCACTGAATCCTGGGGCAATGCTGGCTGCCAGGGCTGCGTGTCCCGCGGCTGGGCTGAGGAGAAGGTAAGGGTCTTGCCTTTCCTTGGGAATCTCAGCCTGTTTCACCAGTACCAGCTGCTGCTTTTCTTCCCGTGTTGCTGAGGCTCCGCAGCAGCGAGCATGGCCAGGGCGGACCAGGCACTGCTGGCGCCGACACTGTGTCTCCTTGCCCCAGCCTGGAGCAGCTGCCGGGTCTCACTGCACTGGTGCAGGAGAGGAGTTCCAGACTTCCTGAGCAGGGGGTCTCACAGCTAGGCCAGCCAGACGGGAACGGTCTGCTCTTGAGAGCTGTCGCATGAGATGCTGCTTCTGAAGCCAGGTGGTACCTCAGATGGCTGAGCCCAACCCCGGAACCTGAGGAAGATCCAGTTTTGCACAGGGCACAGCTGCATGCACGGTCCTGAGTCAACAGTGCAGAGGACCATGTGATTCCAGCGCTACTGAGGTGTCCAGCCATGAAAGCCTCTGTGGCTGGTTTGACGAACATCAGCCAGCCCAGCCCATGGGGCAAGGGTGCTGTGGTAGCAACACCCACTGCAATCCCACCAGAGGCTCCCGGACAGGGACAAGGCTCTCTTCAAGGGTGTGGGACATGGTGCTGCTGGGACACCAATTGCTCTTCGGTTTGATATGGAGTTTGGGTCACACAGGGTCCAGTTAGCCATTGGCACCCTTCCCTGGGAGACACAGCTTGTAAGAGCGGGCAGCATGCCTGACAGCCAGAGCCAACGTCACCTGCCTGGGTGCCCTCCCTGATGCCACAGCAAGGGCTGCCCAGCTCCAGGATGGCTGGCGGGGGAGTGCTCCCTCCCCATGGCCCTTCCCTCTTTGGCAGGTGCATTCTCTTAATCTGGAGCGTGGGCCCCGTGCTCAGCCTGCACAGCCGACTCCTCCTGCAGAGCCCTGTAGCCTCAGCGCGCTGGTGGGTGGCTCTCCCTGCCCTCTGGCTGCTGGCTCTGGCTGGCCTACGTGGGGACAGCCACAGCTCAGAGCAGAGCAACCGTTAGGGCAAAGCTGTGCTCCTGGATGTCCCAGGTGGGTGCTTCTTTCCATGGAGATGTTTGTTGCAGGTCCCAAGACAGGTCTGCAGGATCCTTTCACGACCTGGATTTCTCAGCACCTGCTGGGGCAGCAGAGCACAGCTGGCTTCCTGCAGCCATGGCAGGACAGTTTCTGCCTCTATCCCCTGCACCACAACCTAGAAAGCAGAAAGCATCCTCAGGAACTGCCTGCCCTGGTGTCGCTCACAGCATCCCCAGCACGGGCTTGGCCTGCTCAGGTAGCAACATTTGCTGGCATTCACTCTGCATCAGGGGACGCAAATGTCCTCTAGCAGCTGACCCCGCTGCCCTGCCCTCGGGAGCTGGCCGTTCCCTTCAGCATAGAGTGGCAGAGCTGCCTGCACCTGAGAACCACAGCTCAGGTATTCCCCGCTTCGCTCGCCTTGGGTCTGGGCTGGTCTGAGATAGCGAATGGTAACTTATCTACGCTACACGGCTGCAGAAGGGGATAACGTGCCATTTGCAGTAATTGCAATAGCTCCTGCACGTGAACTGTTGCACGTACATCTGGGCCGGCTGGGGGGAGCGCGGGGGGGCAGGGTGCCCCCCCCAAAGTCCTTGTGCAGCAGTAAGCAGCGCTCTGTCACTATAAATGTGTCCACATGAGGGGTCTGTGCCACTGCAACCTAGCATGGCACAGCAGTACAAGCAAAGCAAGTACATCCACAGCTCCAGGCTTGGGGCAGTGACACTGAAAAGAGTTGAATTTTATTTTAGGGTCCAAGAACCCCCTTATTCTCACGTGGCATTTCTAGCTGACACTGTGGTTTGATATGTCCTGCCCCAGTGACAGCATCACTTTATTGTGTTCTTAACCCACCACCCGCCCCCTCCCCCGCTGTGCATGCCGTTGCCAACCCGAACTCTGTGCAAAGCACCCCCACTCTGGCTGCACACTTGTTCATCGACTGCCTGTAGCCTGGATTGGAGAACTGGAGCTTTCAGCTGCTTAGAAGTTATTTGGGTTGGGGCTTTTTTTGTTGTTGAGTTAGGTCAGTCCCAGAGCCAGTACACAATGCAACCCCGCAAACAGTCGTGTCGATCTAACTGCAAGCGCTGCAGAGGTGCAGCTCAGCCTGGTGCTGATGGAGGTGACAGACTCACTGCTGTCACCAGGGGTGTTGGAGAGAGCTGCAGAATAGCAGAGTGCTCATTGTGCTGCGCAGAACAGAGCTGCCCTGCGAACCTCGTGCATTGCAGTGAATCTGATGCCTCCTGCACAGCATCGAGCAAAGCGCTGCAACACAGCAGTGCATGCAGTGAATGGCACTGCCTGCACCGCACAAAGTGGCTACAGCACCTTCCCAACCAGGAGAGCTGCTGGGGCAGAGGGTGCAGCATGCCCCACAAGCTGGAGCTATAGGTGCTGCATCATTTAGATTGGGGTGGGTGGGAGGAGAGCGACAATGAAAAACTGGGCAGCAAAGACAGAGCTTGGCATGGCAGCGCCATGCAGATGGGAAGGGCCCTCAGGAGGTCTCTGGTCCAACACCTGCTCAAAGCTGGCCCCATTAGATCAGGATGCTGAGGAACTTGTCCAGCTGATGTCAAGTATCTCCAAGGATGCCGATTCCACCTCTTTGGACCCCTGTTCCAGTGTCTGACCGCCCTCCCAGTATTTTTTTTCCTTTTATCTATTTGGAATTTCCCATGTACCACCTTCTGTTTGTTGTCTTGTGTCCTGGAGCAGGAACTGGGCGGGAGGGGAGGGACTCTTATGTGGATAGCCAAGCGCACACACTTGTGCACGTGTGCACACACACGCAGAGAAAAAGGTAGATACAGCTGTAGACACATAGAGATACGTGTATACACGGACATGCATTTATTTATACATATGTGTTTACACATATATACACAGATACATACAAACAAGACTTATTTTGCCCTCATGAAGACGGTTTCATCATTTACAAGGGAATTCTCTCTACCCAGACCTGCCCACTCATTTACCTGGGAAATGGTTCTTAAAGAACTAGGAAAGGAGTAGCGGTTGCATCCCACAGGGTGTTTATTCACCCAGTGGTCCCCTCTCAGGAAAAGGTTTTCAGTGCAACAGAGCTGGTCCATAGCCTTCTCTAACACTGGGCTTGTATGAAGATCTGCTGGGCCACAACATGGTGCTGGTGCTACTGGTGTTCATTAGCCAGCCTCCCCAGGACTCGCTCGGATGCTTAGCTGATCTGCTGGTGGCTCACAGAGCAGTTCTCCAGCAGGTCACACCGGGCTTTTCTTCCCAAAGCTGGTGTGCAGCGGGGGCTGTGATGGGGCCCCTGGCCCCGGTTCGAGCAGACCGAGGCAGGGCAGAGGACCGCTGCACTGCGCG